GATTTCCCCCGATTCGTCCGCGATTCCTAAGCATCACCGCTCTATAGTGTCGCGAACAGAGAACAAAACGTTTTCGTGAGCACAACTGCAGTTTGAGTAACTTTTGAAGCATCAATCGCTTAATTGCATTCCACATCCCTCATTGTAGTTCCTAATTGGGAGTGGTGGGATCGGCTGATTGGCTCGATGATATGTTTCATGTGTGCATCGCGCGGTACCTACGTGTTGAACGATATCAAAATCACGTCTTGGTACACCCTCGCGAGAGGCAAAAAGCATTACGCGGCATATGCGCGTGCGCGAACACGATTAGGATAGCGTCGTAGGCAATTAATATACTCCTTGCTCTCTTACTTTCTCCAGCGACCGGATGCTACACCCTCCTTTGTCCCATTGCCTGCACAAGACTAGGGCGAACGCGCGTCGGTGACGATAATTAATACCTAGCCCTCGGTGAAAAGAACACGTACAAGAGTTTCTAAATGTATGTTTCTTCAATGATTGTCGACTATCGTTTGGTAAGTCTCCGCGAGAGATTAAGTCTGTTCAGGCGGAGGAATCCCGTATATGCGGTGGGCATCTCAGGATAATCGTGGAAACAAATAAGAGAGCATCATGGGAGGAGAACGCACGGATGAAGAAGAGTCGAAATGACGCGCGGTGTCCGTTACGAGATACTAACGATAAGAGAAGAGAAGAAACACACGCTACGTGACAGGAATCGAGGAGAGCGAAAGAGGCAAAAAAAAAAAGAAAAAGAAAAGAGCACGTATATTGAATTTTGTTGTAACTCGAGACTGCATAGTAATTCGATGAGGATTGGATAACCAGGAGCGGTCGCTTCGGTATAAAGCTGGAACGATGTAATGGTAAAAAAATCTCGAAACAGTGCAGTGTGAATCGCGTTACCTAATATACACCAATTGTCAGATTATAGAATCCGAGAACTGCGCGTGAGTTAAGGACGCGGGCAAAGGATGGAGGCAGCAGCCGCAGCAACGCGTTCCTGTGTGTGTGTGTGTGTGTGTGTGTGTGTGGTGTGTGTATACATGTATTTATGTTTATACATGTCAAATATATGTTTTTTTTTTTTTTCAGGTGTATGCATATACACGCGTCCTGCCATTTGTGCCGTATAAGAGTGCTGAGTATAACTTGCGGATATTAGTTATTGCACTATCCCTCACGAACGCTTTTTACTTCGTTAACCTAATGATCGACAAGCTAGATTAGACTAGACTACGTCTAGAGCTCACTTTGTTAAGTTTTTCTCGCCGCTATTATTCTACACGTATGCCTGTATGTGCACTTTGTGTATTTGGTGTTGTGTGTATTTACATACGCGTATATGTTCTTTTTACACCTCGTGTATGCGCGCGCGTGTCCCTTTTTTTCCCGAAATAGGTCCATGAGTGGATCTTAGGTACCATTATATTGGTGGATCTCTCTTCCTACCCCAGTTTTTTTTTTTTTGCCCTACGGTGCGGTTTTCGTTTCACAGTTTAACCCCCCCCGCCCAACCCTTTTATACAATTAATTTCGCCCCGTTTCACACTTCCCCGTCATCCGTCGTTTCCGTCCGCGATTCCATTGCCCCATTCGTTTTTCGCCTACTAAGTCAGATATTACATTAATAATTATCTATCTATCACTTTATGCTACATTTTGGTTTCCTGTTTAACGCGACGATTCGCTCGACAATCGGCTAGCTCCACTCGGTATATGTCCTAGACAACGTACAGGACTACATCAAGTTATACACACGCCTTCGTGTTCACAAGGCGCCTTGTTTTTCTTTTTTTTTTTTAAATACTTTTTACAAGATTGGGCGTCCACGCTGATTCTTTGAAAGAACGCGGGATCCCTTCACTTCTTCTCTGTCGAAGGTGGAATCGAGTCGGAGTGCATAGCGAGCAATTCGATAAGGGGAGTGATTGGGCGGAACGTAAGGAACGTAAAAAGTAGAGTATGTCAAATTCAATTAATATCTTTTTGTTGTTGATTAAACGCTTCCCGATATACGTTACTGTACAGAAGTTGATTGACAGATGCAAACGCACGCGATAACAGGTTCTTATTGCATAATTCGTATTACAGTCTGCCATTGGGTCCCTCTTGCCACACTCTCTCTCTCTCTCTCTCTCTTTCTCTCTTTCGCTCGCTTTCTTTCTTTCTCTCTTTCTTTGTTCCCCCTCTCTCCCCTCGCTCGTTCCACCTTTCACAAAAATAACCTATATTTTTATTTCTTTTGCCTAACTAATAATGTACACGATATTTTCTTTTTACCTATATGTTCTTTTTTTTCATGTCGTTTCTTAATAGCTAAACTCTCTTCCTCTTTTTTTCACGCACAGTGCTTTGTTTTACGCACGACGATTGAAAATAACAGCCCTCGCCGCCGCTGCGCGCAAGTATATATATTTATATATATAATATATATATGCATTTTTGTATTTATATGTATGTATATATATTTATTTATAATTTTGTTGCTTTCTCTTTGCATACTCGTGCCGTGTCCTCGAGGCTAGTCACCCAATTTCTATTAGAAAACGAGATTCGGTTATATAAAGCATGACGATTTTTTTTTTCGTTTTAAGCTAGAATTTTAAATAATATGAAAGTTTTGCAAATCGCGATTGTAACCTGCATTTTATCGTAAATATATATATATATTTACACTGATATTTTTAATTTCCTTAATACTTTGTTAGATATTGACATTATTGTATTATAAAGATAAACAATGAAAGAATAATATTTAATTATAATGATATAGACAAAATTTCTTCAAGGTGCAGGTTACGACAGAACTAAAAGGTCGAAAGATGATTAAAATTGATGTTCATCGCATGCAAAGACTGCAAGAAATAATTGTGGCCGCGCTTACATCACGTGCGATCGTGCATGATAATTCATATGTCGTACTAAACTAAAGACATAATAAAATTTAGAATAAGCTAAATGCATTCAATAAGAAAATTATGTGCAGATAATTAAACATATGTATGAATAAATATATTTCTAAGAACATATATATATATATATACCAGCAATAACACAAATTAGAAATAAATCTGTAATAAGGTTATCTTTTAATGATCTTCGCTAAACGTACAAAATGGAACTTAGAAAGTATAACGATTCAGAACGATTTTCTTTTACATCTCTTTACGAAGCTGTAAATCAAATAAGAGCAAGGCGACAAAAATGCAGCCAAATATAGCCGTAACATTGTTATCCTTAATTGTGGTTATACAATATATAAATTACTATATCAGAATCATTCATCGCGATTGAAAACGTTGAAATATGGCGATTTTTATTGTCGAGCTTTCCTCTCACGGGAAAATCACTCTTTTATCTGGTTGACACAATCGCGACGGATCGTTGGTAGACACACATACACAGATATACAACACACGCACACACATACATCTCTCTCTCTCTCTCTCTCTCTCCCCTTCTTTCTCTCTCTCTTTCTCTACTTTCATCACGAAACATCTAAACTCTATGCGATGTTGGGCAGATTTGATTGTGCCGTTCTCTACTTCCTTCGCTACGTTTCAAACATTCGTGTGTGCCGTACTTTGATCATTGATCTTTTTGATTGAGAAACATCGAACACGCTTTTGATTCGCTTAAAGCACGATCCGTCTATCTTTTGATTAATATCAAAGTCGTCTATCGCTCTCGTCCTATCTCGTTTTTATTTCAGTCATCATCGATATGTTCTCTTCGCCTCTTAATCTAACCGAACCTGTTTCTTTCTCTTCTTGTTTCCGTATTTTTGTCGTCTCTATCTATGCGAGCAAAATTATAGATTATGTATCCACGAAATATGTATTCATGAAATATGTCACGAGAGAGAGATTTGAAAAAGGCAAACTGTTACTTTATAAAGGGTTTTACAATGTTTTTGGACACAGCGAGTCTCTTCCAATATAAATAGGAACAATGACATTAAAGACTCCATGTTAAATTTTAATTTCATTTTTAAAAATATTTCATATATAAAACAGATAATCTCAGCTTATAAATTTTAGAGTTTCACAGCGAAAAATTCATTGTGTAAGAATGTTATACGATTTTATAATTAAAAATATTTCATATTTTAGATTTTCTGAAAACAGAAATATTGAATCAAAATTTTTTGTCATCCTTTGCCATTAAATTTTACTAGTTTCTTTATTTGCCCCGGTTCTACTCGTTGCTTCGATATGAACGCTTTACGAAGAAAAAGCGAGGACACGATATTATCGATATGATGAGTATGAGTTGTGGTACTTAAAACCGAAGGAGTAAGAAGAGGCAGTAGATACGAGGAGCAAGAAACAGGACGATGGAGATACAAACGATCGAGCACGGAAATAACGGAAACGGGTTGCAATAAGTTCCAGCCGCTTCCCATCTTTTCAAGTATTGAAGCTCGCGCTAGCACCTCGATTCGTTCTCGTACCCACCTCTTTTGACCGATTTTTCTCCAGCAAGCGGATAGTCTTAATGGCAGAGGAGCACGTCGATGATGATATTACGTTAATACGGTCAAGATTCTAAAACGGCTGCCGCGCGGACAGGGCACGCGTGAACAAAAAACTTAACTCGTCTAATCTAACTTTCGTGCTGTTTGTGCAATATGTCTATCTACGAATTACTTAACCCCTTCTTCCTCGTCCCTTGCTTGTGCTGTGCAGTTTATTCGTCACTCGGTCTTTCTCTCATGTTCTCTCTCTCTCTCTCTCTCATTCTTCTCTTTTCATACTTTCTTTCCCTCCCTCTCTAGCGCTCTGCTATATGTACGATTGCACTCATGCAATTACTTACATGTTAGCGATTTATAGGAGTTTCGGTCTCGTCTTTCTTTTGTATCAATTTGGTCAAGTCGAAATTCGGGACAACGAGGATACTGCGATCGTTTTACTGTTTCCCGAATAATTTAAAATACACGCGTGCACGCACCATCTCTTTCTCTAGCTATCTTCGTTCTATTATTATTATTATTTTTTTTTTTTTCGTTGTTAAGAATTCGTGTACTCTCTCGTTTACGCAGCGAGATTGATTTACAAAGAGACGGAAGGATCGATGGCTGCCTTTTTTTTCTTTTCTAAGTATAACGTTTTATTGCTTAAACGTCAAAATCTCGATATTCTTCGGTTGTACATAGTCATCTTATATAAAAATCTAACGTTTACTTAAAAACCACGGTGATTTGATCGGTGTTTTGCGCGTTTCGTCACTTTCTCAGTTTGGAACGTGCTAATTCGTCGATGCCCTCCTCTGGCGTGTACATGTCTGTTATTTTTTTTTATAAAAGTATCCAACAGGTCTACGCGTGTTACACGTCCAAAAGACAAATTTGAATGATAAAAACGGATACTAAATTGCCTGCAAAGATTTCAGGGTGCGGAATTATCGTTTGGCCACGAATCCGATAAATAAATATATATATTGATCGAGATACGAAGTCTTTTCGCAGTGGCAAATGGGATAAAGTACGTGGATCCAGTAGTAATTCCTATGGTTTATATATTTTCCGATGAGTTGTACAAAGGGGCCAAGATTATTTTCATCCCCGTAAAAATGCTGCGCTACTGAATATACACAAGATCCACTTCCTCCTTGCCGCCGAATATCGAATCGACCTCGAATAACTTTTAATATAACATGCCTATCTAACTAGCTAATTGAATTTTGTTTATAATAATCTTTACTCTTTTATGTATATATTCTTTCATTTATATATATATATATATATATATTTATATATTTATATATCTTCACGAGAGTATGCTTCGATTAATCTTTGTATTTATCATTTATACACCGTAGCCGCTCGCCAGCCGTCGCATTCGACCGCGAGCGTCCCCTTCGACACATTAAATGTCTTTGAGTTATTTTTTTTTTCGCTGTTAAGCCCAAACTACAAAAATAATGAATTCGTGTAACGAGTCTGTATCCGGCACTCTTCTTGTTATCGTAGAGAGGATCAAGGAATTTATGCTCTTTATTAAAAGGAATCTGATAAACCACGATCCCATTGAACGTATGTGGACTCGTATTTCTCATTATCTCGCTGGACGATACATAGTATATGCATATAATTGGCCAGTTTCGCTAAAAAGAAAAACACTGTCAGACCATCGAATGATTTATTCACATGTATGCCGGATTTCGTGTTTTTTTTTTTCGTATTGAGAAGCTATACTGTAACGGTAAACGCTATCTATTTCTTCAAGCCGAGTAAGTTGCTAGATTATTCTACAGACTGGACGAGAGGTATCTCCGCTTAGTAATCGGTAGCAGTTCTTTTTTTTTTTTTTCTTACATTGGACGTGAAAACTTACAGGGGAAATAGGGGATGTCGGATGCATCTTGCGCAAAATTACCTAGGATTATGATTCTTAATTACTATTTTTTTTTTATTTCTCACTTTGTTTCTTCGTTTTTACTAAACAAGTGTTATCTGTTTTTCGTGATTGCTGCCTTTTCGACTCGCGCATCGTCAAGCCGGAAGTGGCATGAATTCTACTGCTTTAGCTGTCGCGGTCGATTGTGCATCGATGATGACGGAAATGTTGTTATTGTTGTTGTTGTTGTTGTTGGAGGTGGTGGTAGTAGTAGTAGTGGAGGAGGAAATGATGGTGGTGATGGTGGTGGTAACTGTTGTTGCTGTAGAAGTTGTTCCTGTTGGTGGGGTGTACTTGCTTACCATCACACTAGAAGGCTAGGCGTCAGCCAGTCCTCATCCGCTAGCTGGACCGCAACCAAGAACACACTTTACCATTTGAACACACAAACGCTGGTTAAATCTTGGTCCGAATTTCAAGAAAGTAATAGAAATATGCTCGACAATAGTCCTCTCTCTCCCTCTCTTTCACTCGTCTTCGCGCTCGTTTATGTGCTCTCTAACTTTTGCTTTCTCTCTCTCTCTCTCTCTCTCTCTCTCTTTCGTTCATTCTCTCTCTCTTTGTCTCTCTCGCTTCTGTTTCATTCTTCATCCTTGCTTTTTCATTACAATTTCTCACATTCTCCTATTATACATGGATTCTAATCGATCTGAATCTACCTTCACCATGACTCAACCTCCACAGTGTGACGTAATAGTAAAGATGTAAAGACCGCATAATAATTATACAGCAAGTAGATTAAACTGCTTGTACTATAATTTATCGCATCGGCGACAGCGCATTAACCGCAAGATTTCATGACCTAATCACTGCAAATTTCTCAGTCGTCATTGAATAAATGAAGTTTAGATTGCTATGAAATCGTATATTATAAATTATTATATTGATAAACAAGTCGCGAATAGACACAATTTTTGCTTTCGTTTCTTCCATGTTTTCTTCCATTCCTTTTCGTTCGTCGAAAATATTATGCCTTTTGCATAAAAATAAGCTGCAGCGAGTAATTTCAGGTTGAATGAGAGGTTGAGCCAGGTTGTAGATGCAGTTATCCTGATGCTAATTGATATTCGAAAGAAAGGATAAGCCAGGCCGTGCGATGATAGTGGTAGCGATCACTGTGCCTGCGAACCGAAATATGTAAATAAAGATAGTCTTTTCGAAAACTTCGAGCATCCCTTCCTGGATAATGAACAATAAGAGTACTGAATATAATATTATCACGTACATTCGATCTTTTAAACATAATTTAATATAATAATTTATAATAATAAAGAGAAAAAATCATATAAATCATAATGAAATTTATTCCAAAGGCAACGATCGTAAATCGCAAAATATTTACTGAAATACTGACATTTTATTTCAGAATAATTATTCAATTTGTCAAGATTGAGTTAAAATTATAATATATAAAAATATAGTATAATCGCGAACATAAATAATACTTTATAAAAGTAAGGAAATGAAAGAAAGAGGCACTCCAGAGGGATACCCGAGCTGAATTAGATAAAGTGCAAGAAGCATAATGCATGCAATGTCTACATTTCGCATTCCATATTCATGCAAGTTAAGATCTAGGTATTAGAGAACTATCATAGCTTTTTATATCCATACTATATTTATAACATTCATCTAATATTAGTTCTCTTAATTTTGTATTAAATTCTTTTTTTTTTTGTTAATTTTCTATTGGTTTAATATACATTTTGTATTGTTAGCTGCACGTTAAAGTTTAATACACGTTGGACAAATTTACACGGGGATATTTGCATGTTCATAACTTCGCAGCTTTAGCTCATGATTGTAAATTGCGAATATCCATGTACAAATTTGTTTTCTTAGATCCTGTGATCAAACGCAAAACTTTGTAACTTTCGTAACAAGAAAAAGGATATTAGCAAAATAAACGGGAAGCCAATTGCAAAAATCCCGGTGGCGATATATTTCCCACGTTTCATCCTTCTTTCATTGTTTGATCGGTACTGTTATTAAGAACTCGTGTTCTCTCTCAATTGACGATGGTCTCGATGGCTGATTTTCAAGCAACTTTCAAAGTATGATATCTCGCTTGACATGCAGTGATATAATGCGAACTCGGTTTTACGGAGAGATATTTGTGCGAAAGCGAGCTAACTTTCCTCACCGGAATATCTCTTTCGATGCGATAGACGAGCAATGGTACGTGACTTTTACTCCGCTCTATGTGCGATATGTACAAAAGACTCACTAAACAACTATAGCTGCGTGATATGTATATATCTTCTTAAGCACATATATGAGCGACAGGCCGTTTTACTGGCATTGCAAACAGTTGCAGATTAATGACCGAAAGCCGAAATCGATACAGCGTTTACAATATACTACTATCTATCTCAAATTATCCATATTTTCTTTGATAACAGTCATCTAAAAATTTTCTATAAACTATTAAATATGTGATTCATTACAAAGTTCACCGAAAATGTTATGTATATGTATGGAAAAATAAGTATCTTGACATAATCTTTTTTTAATACAAAAATATGAACTATAGACATATGTATAATATAATTAACTTAAAAACCGGAAACATTATAATACTTACTGGTTTTTTATTTTTGTCGATTCATTTAGAGAGATTTTTGCGGATCATTAAATTAAAGCACAGCGGATGAAAGGAATTAGTGAGCAAATCGGATTTACAATCAGATATTCGCTCATTGATTCAGTTCAGTTTTATTATACTTCAACAAAGTCTACTAGTGATGTTGATCAGAAAATTTATTCTTTTATCCCTAATAATTGTATTATATTTTCTCTCAAAGTAGGATCTCTTAATCTCGAGCCGATTTACTCTCCATTTCCGTAAATTTAAATGCGTTTCTATTGTAATATAATAGCATATATGCTGAAAATACTATAAAACAAATACATATTGTTTTATTTAATCACCGATGAAGTTTATTTAACTTTAAAAGTTAGACTTAAATAATAACTAAAAATATACGAAATATATAATGTTAGTGTAAGATATGATTTTGTAATAATAATGCTATTTTATTTAATATAAAATTGTAAGTGTCGAAAAATTTTTAATATATTTCATACAAGTATTTTCTATTTACTTAATAAATGATGAAAGGAGAAAAATAAAGAAACAGCAGAGTTAATTTGAAAATTTCAGACTAGAGTTTTTAGCGAGCTTTTAAATTAAGATAGTCGTTCTCAATTCTGAGACTTCAAGTTGTCAAGTTCAGAAATTGTTCTTGAAGCAAAAAGAACGCGGGGCATTAAAAGCGGTGCTGAGTTGAAATGCATTCGCTGCGCTTGCCCGAAGCCATCCCTGATCTCTTTTCAAATATTCCACATTTTTTTTTTTTGTAGTGGTGTCGTTTTTAGCGTGTGTGCCTGTGTGCGGTGCGCACTTTCTTACGTGTGCATTTTGTGCAGAAAGCAAGATGGTCGAGGTGTACTTTTCTGGACAACAACTACGATAAGTATCATATTTCACTTCACTGCCATGAACCACAATTTTTTGCAACATAACTAAATCTCGACAATCTCCTATAATCACGTGTCGAGCGGGAAAGCGAGCCTGTCTTGCTTTATCAATGTCTGGTGTACAAAAAATAAAAATTACTTTTCTAATAAGAGTGCAATTGCGTATCAATGAAAATTACGTTAGAAAGATATAATATTGTATAAGAAGGTACATAACATAATTGTTTAGTGTAATATAATATTCTATAAGTTTCACGAATATATACCATTGTAACACCAAACATTGTTTTAAATGTCTTAACAAAAAATTAAAGTAACTCTTATTTTTCTTCTCAGTTTCTGTAAATATCTCTCGAAATTCGGTACAAGATAGTCGAAATAATGCTATATTAAGTTTCTATTATTTCTCACCGTTTAATTATATGTGGATCTATTAAACATGCATACTATTATAAACATTCGTCACACAATTACCATAATACAATCATAACTGCCACAAAGCTCTTTCGTCAGTGAGAAAATCAACGCAACTAGCTAAAAAGTACATCTATTTACATAGTAGAGATGGGTAACATGTCTTATCATGTTATATATCATTTCTCGTATGTAAGACGAAATACTTACCTATTAATTCTATTGATCTTATTATAATTTCAAATTATACAAATAGTATATGGTATAAATGTTCTATTCTCTCTCTCTCTCTCTGTCTTTTACCCAACTCCGTTTATAAAAAAAAACATCGTAAGCTTTAATGCATAAGCATATATGGTCTCGACAGTAGTCCGTATTTCATTCATACACAGTACTATTTCTCACTAATTATTAAGCGAACTTCCGATTTATTTATGATGGATGAATAATTTTGTGGTCTGAATTAATAACGGAGAAATCGAAGTTTGATAACATAACACGTAGCTATGACATTACAGACAACGTATTATTTATTAATCTGACAGAGAAAATAAACTTGAATTTACAATATATAATTTAAGAAAATGCAAATTTCCATTTGCATACGTTATGCAATTATTGTAAATAATGCTGGTATGAATTACTGAAATTAACATATCGCGGTTGCTCCCGTAACCTCGTCATACCGTTAACTAAAGCCAAAATATTATACCGAATATATACAATGTGTGCAGTTAATTATATCATATGTGTTATTGTAGTTATATGTTTATTGTTCCACCCGTGCAAAATTATACCATGTTCTATCGCTCGGTCTCTCGAATGATATATCGAGTAACAAGTTTACGAGGTTTCCTAAGATCACCGACAATATATTGTATGTATATGTATATATATGTGTGTGTATGTGTGCGTGCGTGTGTGTATGTGTGTGTGTGTGTACACATATGTATATACATATATATGTATCGTATGTATATATACACATACATACGTATGTATACATACTGTGCGTACTCTTCTGTCGATGCATGCCTTCGATATCCTTTTGATATCGAATCGAGTTTTCCACGTGCAACATTTACAAGCCAATACTGGCACCGATGAAATTGCTTTTGGATGTAACAGGGGCAAGATGCAAAGGTATGTAAAAAAGCGAAACACTTCGGTGTTAGCCAACGAGCATCACACAAACAAATACGGCGCACACACTTGCACGCGTATACAGACGGGATAGATAAAGTAATGGTTACCTGGAACTGTTGCATCGGGTAGGCCATCATTTGTGCCGGTGGCGGTGGTGGCGGGGGCGCGGCTTGCACCCCTGGGGGTGCCGTGACCGTCGTGGCGTGGTGTGGTGGTAACTGTGGTCCCCCAGGTAATCCCTGACCCCATCCTGCCGCTGTGCCAGCAGCATGAACAGCACCCATTCCCATTCTATGTTCGTATGTAAAAATATGTAATCGTCAAATCATGTAATTTTATAGAACAGTAGAGGGAAAGGTGGTATTACAGCCAATATAGATACAATAGCCTTTCTTAATATCGCCGCTATTAGGTGGCGAATTCTAGTGATTACTAGTGATGAAATTATTTGCTTAATAGCTCGCCGTCATAACGTTAATATGCCAGTACACAATAGCCAGTATTCATTATAATGCATTATTACTTTTAAACGTTTGGAAACGTTTTTAAAGTACATTTTAGCGTTTGTGATTACACGTACTTCCTCACTCATCTTAAACTAGAGCGTATTATCACAGAAACACATGTTACATATTTGAGTGTACTGTGTGTTATTTAACATATTATTTAATAGTATCTATATATTCTGAGTTATGCAAAGTTATAAATAATAACATGGTATTTCGCTAATGTGGCCCTTTAAACGTACTGATTGTCTCGAGCTTTTTATACCAAAATAACTATTTCATAAATAGTTCTACTGTTGATTCATATAGTTTACGTTATATGTGTATCATACATTTTTAATACTGAACTCACGGAAGAAGTTATGTGCACGTTATATACATTTGCTTATATTCAACAATATTTTATTTCTTTATTAATTTTGTAACTAAACACTATTTTTTAAATAAAACCAATTTTTTAAATATATTTTTGTGGAAGATCACATTACCACTCTTGTTTCTTTTCGAGCCATTATGCAGTATTGTCACATTTTTATAAATAATGTTCTAATTGTAAGTAATAAATATTTCGTAACTTTGAATCGATCGAACAACATTTTGACGAATGTAATTGTTAAGTTTTAAGTTAAATATTGACTTTTGCTAATTAATTAAATATTATCCAAGTTATTGTAGTATAAAATGTAAATAGGATGCTATAATATCACCTCCTTCCTCTACATACAAATGTTAGGATTTGCATTCAGCTTGGTATATAATTAATGTTTCTCATATCGCATATTTAGATAATTTTATTAAAAATAATATAATTATTTATATATATAGATGAATGAATCTCCTAAAATTAATGTACAAATTCGAGCAACATGTTCTTAATATTATAGCCCAAATATTATATGAATAATTATATTTCTTATCTCCGTAAAGGAAGGATTATATATTCGTGTTACATTAAAATCTCCGATTATTGAAAATTTCAATCGTGAAAAAGTTGGTTTTCAGGAAAAAGGAACTTTATCTCGTGTGAAAAGTTTACCCCATGTATTGCGCCTGTTGATATCCGGCGAACTGTCCATAGGTATACCCCTGCATGCCTTGAAGAAAGCCACCAGCTTGCATTTGTGTCGCTGTCGTGGGATAAGATTGGGGCGGATACCAGTATCCTAGTTGTCCAGCACCGCCGACGCCACCGACGCCTCCGACACCCGCGACGCCCGCCGCCGCCGCGGCGGCTGCTGCCGCCGCCGCGTAGTATGGGTACGTCGCCGACGATAACGCCTGAAAGAGCACAAAGATCAATGAAATAGAAAAGAGCAAGAACATTGTCTGGATTTTATGCTTAACGATGTCGATAGGGTCAGGAATGGTAATTTCGTTCCGTCGAAGATTTGTGTGGTCGTTCACTTGAAATGGGCGACGCGAGAATTTCAACGCGATCATTTCATTGCCGTCACGTAAATTATTTTTTATTATTTCGCTGCTCTCGCGTGAACTCATTCATTCCTTTACGGTGCACAATGCGAAATCAGATCAAATTATTCCACCAAATTATCAATGAAATAATATTTTCTAAAATATACAGTTTATTTTTGTGTGTGCACAATTAATATTTGTGAAACAAAAGAATAAATTTCTTTTCCGTTTATATGTACAATCATTTATTTACCGAACATGATAACATCTAATATAATAATAATAATCTAAATAACATTGAAATTTTCTTCCAAAGCTTTGTGATATTAAACGGGGGGGGGGGGGGGG